GTGTGTGTGTGTGTGTGTGTGGCCAGCTCAGCCCACCAGGGGGCGGGGCTGGCTGGTATGTGGTGCTGGGGGATTGAACCGCAGTCCCTGATGCTTTGCCAAGCTAGTTCCAAGTAGGTGCTTTAGACCACTGAGCCATCTCTCCAGCCCCTACAAATCTACTTTCAATCTCTGTGCATTTACCTATTCTGTTTGGATTTTTATGGAGACTGCAGTACATAGTGGTCGTTTCCTATAAGCACAATTATTGTATAATACGTGGTCCTTGGCATTATCTTTTAATGAATTGTCTGTTGGGGCTTCAGCAATACTCTTGTCTCTTTTTATTCACTGATAATCTCCTGTATGGATGATACCCTTTACGCTCAGCTACTCCAGCTCAGGGACTTTTGGGTGTGCCCCTTTCTTGGCCCTTTGTGTCTGTTCCTATTTTCACTCACCTTGGGGTCTGCCTGTGTGATAGGAAACGCATTGCCTGGTGTTGCTCCTGTGTGCTCACACCATAGAGTCCATACAAGACCCCTGTGACCTCAGCAGCTGTGGGGGCTTCTCCCCATCTGTCATACATGCTATGCTGCAGCAGCTGACGAGGGATGGGGTCCCCTGCTCCAGTTCAGTTCTGGCCTTGCCCACCTGGAGGTGACATCCTGTCTCCCCAGGTTGAGGGTCCTGTCCCCCCAAAGTTGCACCCCTCACCCTTCAGATGTCAGCTGCAAGCTCCAGGTGGTTTTTACCCATGCTTCTGGTCAACAGAATGGGGGCCCCCATAATCCCCTCCTCAGGTTCCCTTAGCTTGTTAAAGCCACACACAGGACTCAGGGAAACACTTAGCTCACTGGCTTGTCCTAAAGGAGGTTTCAGAGGATGCAGAAGGGGGGATTGGCAGGGCGAGCGGTCTGGGAGAAGGGATACAGAGCCTTGGGCTCTCTGGGGGCATCACCTTCCCCCGCTCCTCCCCCCAGACTTGACCCTGTGCTCTTGGACTTTTATGGTGACTTCATTGCATAGGCATTACTGCGGACAGGTGGGGAATCCCTGAGGCCCTTCTGTCTAGCCATCTCCCTGGACTCTTCAGCTTTCCTCCCTCCAGGGAGTGAGAGCTCTGGATGAAAATCCAAAAGTATACAGCACTTCATAACATTTCCACCTAGGAGCAGAATTGCTGGATCACATGGCAGCTGTAAGGTAACGTCTGAGAGTTTGCTTTCCAAGTGCCAGAGCACCTTCAAGCAGGCACAGTGGCCAGGGATTTGATCCTAGGGCCTGCTGTGCCGGCCCCACCCCTGGGGAGAGCTGACAGCAGTTGAGACTAGGCATGGTGGCGCGCCTGTAATCCCAGCACTTGGGAAGCTGTAAACAGGCAGATCATTATGAG